TAAAGATCTGGAGCTTGCGCAAGCAATTAAATGGGGTCAGGCGACAGACAAGCATTGGGAGATACAGCGATACCTCACCCTACTCTACCGTACTCCTACACATTCCCCACCACACACCGTACCTGCTAAAATACAACTATCTCAAATGGAGCAATAGGAGAATTCGAGAAGATCAGGATGTCCTCCATAGACATCAAAGTGAAGGAAATACTATTTTTGTGAAATGACATGAATGAGTTGCAAAAACACAAAACAGCAGCTTTCCAAATTGATATTCTGAGAGATGTATATGGAATGCTAATACGAGACCCTTGAGAGAACAGGAAGAGGAATTCCCTGGTAGAATTGGGTGACTGTAGCAGGAAAGATGCAAGCACTACTGGTATATACGGAACATATCCTGTCGTGGAACAGCAAAGGCAGCTGCTTATATAGCCACGGAGCGCCCTGCTAGAGCGTTCCAGAACGTTTCGCTATCTCCGCCACTCTCTCGTGGCCCCGCCCCGCCGACGCGATAGCGCGAGGGGGTGGGGCAGGAAGGTTCGCGAAAGTTCCGAAGAACCTCTCCGAATCGTATATAAGTGGCTCTGTGGATGGTGACTCCAGTCATTCGAGTCTGACTTTCCTGAGCTTCAACGATGTCTATCTGCATTCTTCACAACGGTTCTCTGCCAAGTGTGCTGAACGAGGTCTTCAACGAACTCGACGACGCTCTCGGCCAAGTCCTCCTGGTGAGACCACCTGCTTCTTCTCCTCCAAAGGGGAATAATGAAAAGAAAGCCGTGATGGGTCAAATGGGCAAGGTAAGTCATGGTTTCATGGGCATTCTGCCTCTTTTACCGTATCATCACTCTCACAAAGAACCTTTGCAGGTTACCGATGACGGGTCAAAATTCACAGTCGCCTTGAATGTTTCGAAATTCAAGCCAGATGAACTGAAAGTGAACATCGATGGCCGAACCCTTACCGTAGAGGGTAAACAAGAAGTCAAAGATGGCTCGAGTTACACGGCCAGGTAAGTCTTTAGTCCATAAACTCTTGAGAAAAATTCTCTCTGGTTGCGACAATTCTGAATTTCTTATTTTATAGGTCATTCGTTCGCCAATGGGTTCTTCCAGAAGGTGTCGACGTTGAGCAGATACGATCCAGCCTTACCGACGAGGGTCAGCTGGCCATCGAGCTACCAAAGCCCAAACCGGCCATCAACTCTAGGAAGTATCCCTATCCTCAAAGTAACCGATCACTCCTGAGACTTTGTTCTGTCAGTACTGCCTTGTCCATAATGATCTCTATTCTTACGGACATTCTACTGTCATCAACCTTGCTGCTGTCATCATGTTTTTATGTCTGAATAGTGCACTATGTTTTCACCGTATAACGTTGTAATTGTTGCAAATATAATAAAGATGTATTATTACCGTATATCTGTACTTGCAACTACTCCAGCAAGCTGAACCTTCACTGTCCGCGTGGACTTGCTACTTGCAAAGCAGTGATGTTGTGAGGTTTGGACTTGACTCTTGTAATACAGATCATAGTCCGATGCGCCACATGCTCAACTTTTATTCGGAATCTCCGATGGGTCTGCACTCCCCTCGGAGGGGTCATTTCTCCCCGAACCTCACTGAGGGTGGTGCTGATCGGTCAAATTTTGTTTATTCTTTGTCATCTATTTCGTCACTTCTTCCAATTCCATGGATTCCTTCGGAGTAGTAGCGTATGAGTGCGGGTAACAGCTTGCGGCATGATTGAATCAACATAGCCCTTTTTGAACCGAAGGACACGTTGTAACCTGAAGATACGACCTCCCCCCTCTCACAAACCCACTATCACTCTACCGAATTCTTCCAACTCCCTACCAAATCCACGAGAGTTTCTTACACTCCTCCCCGAAAAATTGGACTGACGCGGGGAGCACGTATATTGCGCGGGTGCACGTGATACGGGAAATGTGCACAACTGAAAAAATTTTCTTGAGGCCCAGAAAGTTTTCTCACGATTCCAAAAGTGACCCTCTTCCTCAGCGACGAAATGCGACACACTGACGAGATTCTCCCAACGGTGATGTACCTTTGGGGGGACAAGCCCGCAGCTGTAGAATTCTGTCACTTCAATCGTTGAAGCTAGTGGGCTGTGATAGCTGGATGCCGTTTCGGATCCCGCCTGCTATCCACAATGTGCGGCACTCTCGTGGATATCAAGGTCATGCCGAGAACACGTTGACAAGCTGCTGAACGCGGGGGACAACCAAACGTGAGCTGATGAAGACAATTTGCACGTGCCGCTACAATTAGAGATATACCGGGTCGTCCATCACACCTGCGTGCTTTGCTGTGAATGGAGTCTGAACCAGTGTCGTCGTAGCGCTTACCCCTTCACTACCATGCAATCCACTCCTTAAAGGCACATTCCGCGATAAAATAAGGCTATGACCTCTCAAATGTGTCGGACGATCCGGAAGGCGATTTTTGAGGCTGCGCTACTTTCAAAATGTGAAAAACGGCAAGAACTCCGCTAGAAGCTGACTAATTAGGCCCATGGACACCCCTTAGGCCCATGCCGACCCTCACCGGCTGCTAGCTAGTAGCCACTATGTTATCTTTCTCTATAACATTTCGGACTGCTTTTTCTGCTGCTTTTCTCCGCTAATCAGATACTTAGCACTTTTTTGTGCCTATTTGAGTTCCGTTTCCCGCAATTTGCGGTCGCGAACTGTGCCTTTAAGTCGCATGAATGAATGCAGATGCTGATATTTCGGCTGCGATGGTTGTAGATTTTTCCATATCCCCTTATAAATCCTTCTCATCAGTAATTGAAAGTTCGTAAGTAAAAAGAGTCACTGAAGTGTGTGACG